ACATTATCTCCGTTGGCATGTAGCCATTATATCATCCTTCACTTATCTGTATTAATGTATTTGTCATTTAATAACTGTAATGATCTAAATCCCTCTGTATCTAATTATATTGGCTGTTCAACATAATATACATCAACTGTGAGCTTGTAAATTTATAGGACTTTTACCTGTGTCCCTACACATAAAGATGTGTCATCACTTTCTTTATTAACTTTCTGCTGTCAGAAGCATAAAGCATTTTGACTTAACCCCAAATTCTTCTGACTCCTACGCTATATATTTTCCAAGTTTGTAAATCTGCTTGCTGCCACCTCTGAACAGCTAGTATTTAACACCTTCTAGCATTTTTGTATTTTTTTCCCAGAAACTGTCATTAATGATTTATCTCTCTAGTCTCCTAAAATCTAAACCTTTAATTTCTCCAGAGCAGAGTGACAATGTTTTGGAAAAAACTGTCCCAGCCTTGAATGTGTTTACTGGATTTCTACCTGTGCCAGCCTAGTTCATGTCAAAGAATATTCCATAAGCTTTTGCTCTGCCTTCACAGCAGGCTGTGTCTCTATGCAAAGCCAACAGAGAAGTGTTTTCCCCAATGGTGTTACTCTCTAGGCAAGCCTGGAGAGCTCGGTGTGGAGATATTATTCACTCTTATTCCAATTGCTTCTGCCATAGTATACAGTGTTGTGGGTGTTTTTCTGAGTTTATTTCCTCTTGATTTTTAACTTGATCGTCTCCTTTTCCTGGTGTAAATTAGTTTGTGATTTCCCACCTCTAATTGCATAGCTCACGTGTGTGCACTGTGCATAAGACAAGATTGGACAAATCATACTTCAGGCATCCTCTGAGTGATTTGGTTGTTTGTAATCCTTTCTAGTTTTTTTAAACTGTATCAGCAATTTCAGCTGCCTCTTACAAAACATGTTTTCTTTCATTTTATGTAAGTGTGTACAGACATACAGGGTAGGTTTTGAGAGGAAAGTGCTTTATTAAACCATGTTGCTTTTTTTTTATTATTTTTCATATGAAAAGAAAAAATGCAGACTCTGTCATCAAAATTAATTAAAATGCATGTTTATTTATCCAAAAGCCTGGAGTGGCTCATTCTGCATCATTCCTGTCTCTTGACATTACTCATTATTATTACTCAATATTACTTGTTCTTAAGGAAAAAAGTGACTAGAAAAAGCTCTTTCAAAATCAGTTTGGCTGTAAATACTTAAATGACTAAAAGCAAAAAGAAAGAAAGAGAAAAAGGAAAAGAGAAACTAGTCAAGTACTACTTATTTTGCATCCTTGATATGTGTGTATTACAAATCAAGCTTTGTGGAACATATATTAAATAATTATGATTTGCACGTATAAATAAATACTTCATATAGGTTACATGCAAATTCCAAAGTAAGGGCATATTCAGCAGTGTAAAGCATCGCTAGAAATGATTGTTGTCTTTTGGGTGTACCTCAATATAAAAGTTGAAAGCCAGTTTCCAGTTGTTACACGGATGAATGGAGAGAATTTGGGCTTGCATCTGTTTGTTGTTTTTCAATTGGGGAAATCTTCATTCTTCAAATTGGGTTCAGTGTTTTAGGAAAAGAGGTGGGTTACATTCTTTTTTGCACTATAGACCTTCACTGTTTGTGTGAGGCCCATAGCATCTCATTATTATCAAAGTGTTCAGCCCTGAAAAAGCTGGTTTCCTCTGCTCCGTTTAAACACCTTCAAGGTGCAGTGTTTTGCAGCTGTGAATTTTGGCATTCACTCCTTAAGACTGATGTTTGTTAATACGTTTATGTACTTCAGAATTTTTTTCTGTTCATCACAACGTTGTTTAAGACTGAGATAATTGCTATACTGAACATTTCTGCTGCCTGTCAGAAAACAGATTATAAGGACGTGAATGCATTCACCCTTCTGCTTTTTATAGTTCGGCTGTGATTTTGAAACATAATTTTCTGCATTGTTTTGGGAATTTCAGGTAGAAAGTGTAGCACCAACTCATTAACACTGTGAAGATTCTGTGGAAATAACACAGTTACTGGCAGCACACAACAATCTTTGGTTTGGGCACTGGCCTTACTTCATGCGTATGCACTACAGTATATCTTAGAAATGGTACCTTTTCATATGACTGTAATAGCATCATCAACAATTTGCTTTGTAACTAATCTGGAAGGAACCATACAGTACAAGCAGTGATCTGCCACATGAAGGATTTAACTGGGAGGGAAACATCAGAGTCCTTGGAAAACTTGAGAATTGATAGTAAGCAGATAGCAATGATATCAAGCCCAAAATTAGCTTTACTGTGGGGTAATGTTGCTTTGTTCCAGTCCTGAGCACCTTCACTTGCAAACCGAGTGAGGAGACATGTCTTCATGTCTTTTATGAGTCTGAATTTTCTTCATGTATTAATATTTTTATTTGACTGTTGTGACTTTCCAGCAAAAAATCAACTTTTGTTGTTATCAGTGAGTTTTCTGAGAACAGAACGAGGGTATGAAAAGGATCTGTAGATAAAGGTGTCAATTTATGTTTGCGAACTTATTGTGAGATTATGTTACCTCCGTTATATCTCTTTGTTCAACTTATGTTGTTATTTTAGCCCAAAAAAGGCCAAAGATCATCAGCTAAAGTGCATGTAGAGTAAAGCTGCTCCTGTAAAATTGATGATCCATCCAATTATTTATCTATAGAGGCTGCTGGGAAGAAACGCAACTATCTCAGTTCTCAGACCCTTCTGCTAGGTTGAACTTCATGGCTGAAGGTTTAATCCCTAAGTGTCATATCAACAATTCATTCTGTGATATTCTGGCTGACATGCTCTCCTTCCTTATTTATTGATGTCTTCAGTCATCGACAATGAGAGGAAAATACACTATTCGTCAAAGTGACGGTGTTTTACCCTCACTTACAGTTGATGCTGCTGTCACATTGATGGTTGGAAAATAAACTCAATCATTATAAAAAGCTAAGAGTGTGAACTTGCCAGTGACAGGAAGAAGATGAAAAAAAACAACCCACAGTAACTTGCTTAAAATTGGTGTAATAAAAATAGAGCTGTTTCCTATAAAGATGTTTCCAAGCTTTGTTTGTGAAATACCAAACCATTGTAGCCATTTACTTTAAAATTATTCCACTGCAGGAAAATGTGCTCTTTGTGCTCTTTGTCTGCGCAACCATAAGTATAATTTTTAGCAAGAAGTATTTGTTATAATTTCACCTCATGCTACCGCTTGTTTAGTAATTTGTTGATTGATTTCCTCTATATTTTAATGTATTTTGCTTTGTTTTTTTCTCCTCTAGACTACACTGAATGCATTTATCTGTTTCTGTATGCCAGTATTTTAAGTGCTTTGATACTGGATGAACCCTTAAAGGTTTATTCTTAAGTCCTAGGGCATGCAAGCATAGGCAAAGCTCTGCCTCGAATCACTTTCGTAGTCTACCATTTGTATAGCTGGATGGCACCTTACAGCTTTTTTAACTCAATAACCACAAATCTTACCACATTTCACCTTTGGGAGGCATTATATATACAGCTAAAAGTGAAGCACAGCAAGCCAAGAGGGACAAGATAGCATAATGAGGATGTCAATTTGTGGTCAGATATCTGAGGAAATATTTATCTTACTTGTACTGTACTTGGCAACAGATAGAGAAACATACATGTAATGAATTTCCTTAGACTTCATCTGACAGTGTGTGTATATTGTGTTAAATGCATTTAGGAAAAATAAATCACTCGGCCCAGTTTTTAAAAGTTTGGGGTGATTCTAATTGGATTATTCCCTGAGAATGCACTATATCTGTTGGGGGGAAAAAAAAAAAGAGTTTATTCTACTAGCGTATTGGTGATTTTTTTTTTTTAACCAATTTGTTTTCTCATATCTTCTCACACAATGACATTTTGCATCCAACTCATTCACCAGAGCAAAGGCAAGATGTGATTTTTGTTGTTTATGAAGAAAGCCTGTTTTTATGGCTTCACTCAGGTGGTGAGCTCACTAAGTAGCCCAATTGAACGTGCATGTCTCACGCTCACAATGTGTCCTGAGGCAAAGCTACGGCTGCTTCAGCTACTTGTGTCTGCTTCCGCACCTGTAAATGGCAGTGATTTAACTTCGTTTTCTCCTTCAGGGAAATACAGGGAGGATTTCTTAATGTTCCTGTAGAGCTTTGAAGATTAAAATCTCTTTTCTATATTTGCTGCTATTATTTCAGTCAAAGAGGAGCATTTGACTGAAGCTGTTTGAAGAGTAAAGTTTTGGCATCTTGCATTGTCTGGAGGCATGGATTCCTCTCTCTGCTATAATTTTGCAACCTTTGGTTCAGCATGAGCTGCGGAAACAAGCAGCCCGTGTGTAAACAAATGGTGATGCCAACAGATTAATGTATATGTCTGCTGTTACAGACATCAGCAGATCCATTGCAGTGCATCTCCAGTCCTGCCAGAAGTACTATGTGATGGAGAAGAATAGACACCAGTAACTGGGCTTAGTTCAAAATGACTTTCCTTTAAGCACCAATGGTGAAAGCTGAGAGGCATAAAGATTTTCTTCTTACATGACTTCTCACTATCTTCAGAAGTAAAGGATTGCTGGTGTTTTAGTGAAGGCTTCTTGTCTGCCTTGTTAAGACAAGATGTAAGGTGTAAGGAACATGTGGGCAGCACAAGTTCCCAGCACTCAGAGCAGGTTTGGAAGTCTTCGTGCCTTTGGTCCATGGAACAAAGGTCAGCATTGGTTTCTAGAGCCTTTGCAACCTTGACAGATGGCAAGGGGACAGCTTCTGGTCTGAGTGTTACTCCTGCAGTTTTATGTTGTGGGAAAGTTGAAATAATGATATTGTCCTCCTTGCAGTTAGGAGGAGAGATTAGGCTATCACATGTATTAGGTGCTGCTGTTCTTTAAATAGCTTTGTTACAATCTAGCCTGGCATTTTGAGGCCTTACAGTCAGAAGCTATATTTTTCATGATTTGCATTTTGATTTTTTAATGCAGAGCAGATTGGACAGGAGATGCTGGAAAACCTCAGCCATGACAGAGAGAAGATCCAGCGTGCTCGGGAAAGGGTAAGTTTGATAATAAGTAATTGCTGGTCACAGATTTTATTTGCTTTAGGCAAGTTCGCTGTGCATGCAAAAAATAGTCCAGCATATTGATTAGTTTTGTATAAATCAGCTGCTATTGTAAGATGTAATCACCATCTGCAGCAAAGCACTTAAGAAGTGTCTTATATGAGCTCCCCCAGAGAGTCACACTGAAGTCACCAAACACACTGTTGCAAGCATGCTGTCACTGCCATCACACACAGTCAGATCTCCTTTCTGTCCTTTGAAGGATTTATTATAGTGTCCATTGCAGTGACTTCTTGGACTCTATGAAACAAAGTTCATATCATGATTTAGCTTATAATAATTGATCGACTGCTGCTCTTTTTAGCTGCAAATGCTAATAATTATGAGGATGTATGCAATAGTTACCTCCTTTTCTCATCGCCACATGGGTGAAATCAATGTTTCTTTCTGTATTGTAGTTTCCTATTCTGCTGCTCTGTCACTGCAGTCAGAAAGATATCTATGTCATTTATGGCTTATGTTGCCTCTGCAGGGATCATCTTTACTTTGTAGAGTTTAGTGAAGATGCCCAATAACCCATCCCAACCAACTCATCATTTCTGACCCTCAGTCTCAAAGATTTGACCCTTTGGCATTGATCTGTGCTCACAGAGTTTTGGAAAGATCTTACCAGCTCTGCTAACTCTCCCAGAACCAGTCACGACTGCATCTGAGCCTTTCTGTCCAGGACACGTTGATCATATGGTTTCTTGAGTGTCCAATTTTGCCAAAGCTAAGTCATCTCACAGGCCTCTATCTGACAAATGCCACTTAAGAGAACTCCGTGATCTGTCCCAGGGAGTTTCTTTACCTGGATAGCTTTGATTGGTGAAGCCCCATATGATAGCTTTAACGAGGCATTTTCTGTCAGCTGTACCAGCTGCTTTTTAAAGTTCTGGGCATGAGCTACTGTAAAACGTTAAATACAATAAATTGTTAAGTAAAAGGATTGTGAGGGAACTAAGGGTTGTTCAGGCAAATCTGTGTCGTTTCCTCTCCAGTCCTCAATCCCTTGTGACTGAAAAGTCAGAAATGCTTTTCTGTTTCTATCTGGACAAATAAAAGCTGGGCAATGAAGATGAATGTATCTCTTTCTGCTGAATCAAAAAATCCTCATGAAAGTTAGAGAAAAAGGAAGCATAGTTCTGATAACTCCATATACACATAGTTTGTAGCATAAATTTTGTGTTTGTTTGCCTTCTGCATGAGAAGCAAATTTCTTCAATGGAAAACTGAAGAGTATTCTAGGAACTTGAATCCAATTACAGTTCAGCAAGAGATCTCATCGTAAGTGGAAGATGTCAAGTTCTGAGATCTTATTGTGTGCCACTGAACTATTTTGTTTGGGGAATTCAGAGTAACACAACTGTTTGTGAATTCAAATGTAAAGTCAGGGATGGTGTTGGATAACTTTCTGAGTTTTCCATTTTTGTAGAGGTTTTTATAAGGACCAGTGAAGAGGGTGTTCTATCAATGCTTAATGAATTTATGCTGAGTACATTCAGGCATTATCCTTTCAGCTGGGAAACAAACTTGTCATCTGAAAGCCTGGACGTGATGGTCAGTTCTTTGCAGCTGAATCTTGTAAAAATTAGAGATTTTTTTTCTTATGAGTAAAATTTAAATGAGAAATAGTGTCTATACAGTTTCCTTAAATCTACATATTTTGAGTTTTCCTGTCTGCAGAGTAAAATGTTTGAATGAAAAGCAAGAAATAACTGCAATTATTTGGAATATAAGGGAAACTACATGTGTGATAACATCCACAAAAGGGGAACTCCCCAAACTGTTTCTTAGGTTTTTTTTTAAGCCAAAGAGAAAGGGTAAAAGCTCTGCTATGAGAGCCAAAGAGATTAATTATACTATGTAGGACTTTCAAAGATTTTTTTTTTATAAAACCTTAAATTAAAATGTGTTTAAGGTAGGAAAGATATCAATGTATGCATCTTGCTCATCTTTCTTTTTTTCTTATTGTTACTATTTGTAAAAGCTTTCTTGCACACTGTATATATTGGCCATTATTAATATTAAACCATCTTTCAAAAGGCTTTTACTGCAGCAATGAATTGCCATTATATGCCACTTCAGAGTTTTGCCCACTACCAGTTCTTTGGCTTCTGCAGTGCACTGGTATTGCTAAAGACATGATGGAGTAACTACCATCAGATAATTCTGTTTTACATAAAAACAAACTTACAGCTTGAAAATGTTTATGTTTGTGGGTTTTTTTTAGTGTTCTCTTGGGATCTTCCAAGTGTGTCTGTACGTTTGTTTCTTTATTAGCATTTCTTTTGCCTACATTATGATGCATTTTATTTTTGGTTTTTTATTGCCATAGAAGCATGTCTTGCTTCATAAAGTCTTGCTTAGAGGACTTTATGAAACCTCCAAGATTCCACTTCCCCTCCTAATTATCAGATCTGATTCAAGCTTTCAGGTGGAATCCTGCAGCAAGAGAGGAAAGTTAGGATCAAACATATAATGGTAAAAAGGAGAGAACTACTTTTCTATGAGAAGCTCCAAGTGTTAAATGCATCTTTATGAATAATAAAAGACCAATGTAAAGTATACATTTGTGCTTCAGATTCCCAAGTAAGAACTTGGTTTCTTATGAACCTTTTAATAATTATTGTGATGGGTTTTTTTTTTCCTCTTACTTGTGTCCAATTGGGACACAAGCAGCTTTTCTGGAGCTTGTATTATCTAGGTGAATTAGGAAAAAAAAATGAGGGAATGACCTCCCCAGAATATAATGCTCATCCTTGTTCCATCATGCCGCATAATCGCAGAGCTCTGGTCTCAGTGCAAGTCTTCTCACTGAACACAATATTGCTAAGAGCAGTCTTGGTTGGTGTTATCCCATCTCAGCTTCTGCTTGGTATTTCCTTAATGCTTTTTCCAGGAACAAGGAGGAAATATATATAAGGGTTATGTGTCATTCGTTGCAACTACCGATTTCAGTAATAAGCATTAAATCTGGTAGTAGATATTTACAATATTAGACTCCAGAATGGCAACTGCTTTTAATATTGCTGCTATGCATATATTCAAGATATAATTGTGGTTTGTTATGGGAAAGTTGATTTGTTATTGGAAGGCTGCCACTTTCCTTAGCAGTGCTACTTTTTCAATGGATTTATAACGCAAGATTCATTTTGTCTTCTACAACAAAATTTCTTTACTAATAAGGCAATGATTGAGATAATCCTTTCAATATGGTTTGATAATGAAAAGGTAAACATTCAGCTTTTGCAAGGAGAAAAATGTTTTTATGTATGTACACACAGCTGTGTTTTGAGGCATGTTAGAAATGGTGGTTCCTGCTAATTTGTAATTGACAATAATTACGATATCCCTTATAGTACATTTTAATGTCTCTCAGGTTCAGAGTTCTCTAGAAAGTTCGAAGATGTCTCTCCATTAGCTACCAGCAGAAGAGGCAATAGGAGAGAAATGCTATTCTTTGTGTGAACTGTAGCTCATAATTTCTAGGCTGCCTTTTGTGAGATATTAACAAGCACAAAAATAGAAGCATTTAATTCTTTTCAAAGAAGAACAGAAATTATTGTTCTGTTTTAATAGGAATTTCATTTTCTTTATAACCATTTTCTTAGTATCCCCAGTTTTGCTTTCCATTCAGTTGTGGTTTTTACCTATTTTGCACGACTTCTGAACTGTAAAACAATGCAGCTAATTAAGTTAAGCTGTCCATGTAGCTTTCCTATGTCCTATTAAAGTACTAAAAACACTGCTGTAAGGTCATCACAGGTTTTCTATTTAAGGGACAATGTGGGTGTATTTTTTAACATAGAATCAGTAAAATGACACCGTTCTGTATTATTGCTTTTTCTTTAAACAGATAACTTTGAAAAACAGTGAAAGATGTGTTCAATTTTCCTTTCTTAAAGTATCAGTAACACTGCACATGGCTGTCTCTTCATCCTTTGATGCACTCTCTAATGTCTATAAGCAATGTACATATTGCACCTCAGTGGGAATTACCATTACAAATAGCAATCTAGATTCTGTCTAGAATGGCTTGGGTTGGAAGGGACCTCAAGGATAACCAAACTCCAAACTCTACCCTCAACACATTGTTCATAAGGTTTTTCCTCTATATCCTGATTTATCTTTATTGCCTCAGTGTCTTATCTTCCACAGGTTTCAGCTCCATGAAAGTGAAAACTAAACAAAACCTGTTCAAATTTCAGAACTTGGGTGACTTTCTTACTTACGAGTTTGTTGTAGGCTCAAACTGAAGCCCACAAACTGACAGAAGAAATCTGCATTTTTTTGTACAAAATGGCATTCATGTGACATTTAATTTTAATGGAATTCTTTTCTCCTCAGCTTAGAGAAACAGATGCAAACCTGGGAAAGAGCTCCAGGATACTGACAGGGATGTTGCGAAGGTAAGGCTAAGGTAGGGACACTTCCACTCTTTCTTTTATTCCCTCTTTCCCTCTATGCCTTTCTTTTTACTTTTAATTCAGCCTCCACATTTTGCTGACTTACCTGACTTTTTTTACTTGGACTGCTATATAGAATAACTTCAAATGAATTGTGGTAATGAAGCAGGCAGGTTAGATAGAAGGCTTTATCACAGCTATGGAAAGAATTTTCTGTAGCCTGAGGGATTACCCCTTGCTCAATCATTTCTCATCTTTGTTTCTTTGTATTTGGGCTTTTTTGGTCTGTTCTAAAATTAAGTTTTTTGATGTTCATTTCCCACATTCCTTTTTCTTGAGTATTCTCAGGATTTTCACTTTTTTTTTTCTTTAACCTGTTAGATTGTATGTGAGGAAGCCTGTAATTTTTTGGGAGCTATATAAATTTATACACAGAGAAAAGGTTAAGGTGATCAGTTCTGTCTGAATTGATCGAGCAGACACATTGTACAACTTCATGTTTTTAGCATGTGTGTTTCATGGTTTAGATGTTATGCAAACTGTCTGTGGCATTAAAGCTAGATTATACAGAGAGAAAAAAATTGCAACATCCTAAAAATCTGTGTGGGATCGCAGTGTGGGAGTCACCTATGATTACCCTCTACCTTGAATAGTATGTCGATACCTTCCCAGACAGGTTTTTTGAGTGGCATCTCTGGATGTGCCCTCTTTACACAGCGAAGCAGCACTCAGACTTAAGTGCAATGTCCGTATTTCTGCATTCTTATTCATCTTCCTGATGAGGATGTGCATTGCTTTAATAGGTGATGTTGTTGGATGAGATGAGCATAGTTTTAAAGGACTACATAGCATCCTCAGAAGAATTCAATATGAAATTACTCTTCTCGTGGGCTTTTACAATGCATGTTTGCTTAATGCAATTAGCCTTAGAGTAAGTTTTAGCAGAGTTGTAGATTTATCACTTGTCTTGGAAAACAGCCAAACCAGAATATATTAAGTTTTTCTTCAGTGCAAGCTTTATCTCTTCATAAGTCTTTTCAGACAAATGTCTTTGTTAGTGCCTTGTATACCCAGTTGACAAAGGTTGAAAGGACTGAACCTGATGCCTTCATTCCACAAATTTCTTACAATCGCAGCTCCAAACTAACACATAAAATTCTCTGATTAAGAGTAATATGTAAATGACAAGAGCTAAATTCAAAATCCATGGAGAAAGAAAGTGGCAATTGAAAGGGATGGTTCAGTGCCTGTAGACAATCAAACTAAAATAAAAAAAAAGAAAACAAGAAAAGAGAGAACCCAACCTAAGTCTCCCCAGGAAGGACCCTGCGACATGAGCTGTAACGAATATTCTGCATATGTCTCCATTTTGTCAAATCTCATTAAAGGGGTTTCTTGCTTTATGTCAATTGAGCTGTCCAAAAATCATTCATCATTTTAGTGCAAAAAAAAAAATCATGCAGTTATTTAAATAATATCATATTAATGTTAAAGTTCAGCTGTCATTTAATAGTATGGCTTAATCAGACATAGCATTTAGGAAAAATAGTTTTTTCGAGCCTTACTTGGCTTTCAGGTTGGCAGATTCAAATAAGGATTTATGGGTTTCTGAACCAATGTATTCTTTCCATGTTTATGCTTGAGGTACCTCAGCCTTTTTTGCAGCACCCTGTAGTCTGTTGTTTTCAATAAAATAAAGTATCTCCTCATATTGTGTTTGAATACATTTGCAAGTAATTTGGAGAAGCTGAAGCAAAAACATATGCTGTAACCTTTGACTTTGTTTTGTATTTGGGAATCACAGTTAGGAGTCCCAGTTTATAAGTGTTCCATAAACCACATGAAAAATAAGATCTCTATGAAATATACTTGGGTTCTTGTTTTCAGACAAAAGGATTATGCAATTGAAAACCAAGATAGCATGTTTCTCTGTGTTAAAAAGACACTGAAGTTCCCTTTTCTTTAACTAAAATGTTGAGCTGGCTCACCCATCTGGATGAAAGGAAGGTTAGGATTTAGGCTCTGTTCAGCAGAACATGTCAAATGAAATGCCTTGATACAGATGCAGCTTGCAGGAGAAGATTCTCAGGATATTTTGTAAAAACATGTAATAGATAGATCCAAGGTGAAATTGATTTGCTCTATGACTGTTGACTAGAAGCATTATCCCAGCCTCAGCATCATCCCAATGTTGTTTAGTCACAAGAATAATCATGAAATACAAAGCCCAAGAAATCTGCTCAAATTAGATAAATACAACTGTATAAAAAATAATTAGCACAGACTGACAGTGTTGTCCTAATTTTGCATACCTTAGTAACTACTACACAGTGTTTCACTTAATTGCTGGAACCAATAAGAAAAAATGCTGGAGGACTATTCTTCACATTATTATCATGCAGAAAAGGTAATGTTAAGCTGAATGTAGCTCAACTTAGTTACTGCTTCCATAACATGTATGTTCTGAAGTTGAATGCCAGGCTAACACTCTGTGCATCAGTACCAAACTGCTTCTATTTTTACTCTCTGGGAAAGGTAAAGCAACATCTCTTCTGAGTATGGCCAAACTTATTAAGAGATTAGATGTTTAAATAGGTAGGATTCTTAATGAGAGCTAAATTATTTCCTTTGTAAAAAGAGCAAAATTCTCTGGTCTTGTGTTTGTGCATAAAAATTGTGGAAATAGGGAATGAAAGTGGGAATAAAATCTATTAGCTACTGTAGGTCACTAAAGAAATCACTGATAGAACAGGCAGAAGTCTTCCTATCCCATTTTAGTGCTCTAGCAACTTAAAGTAGCCAGGTTTATGTACTGGACTTTATCTCCTGATATTTTATGTATATAGGGAAGGAGGTTTTTCTGACAAGCTTTTTTAAAATATTTTTACTTGGAAATATTTCTAATATTCTTTTTTCTTTTCTGTAAAAAAATAAAAACCTACTGAGATAGCTCTAAACTGGAATGTTTGACTTATAGCACCTCATTTCTAGGATAATATCAGCATGTTGATAATGTCAAAACATTGATCATTTCCTTTTACATGAATTTAGAGCTGTGGACATCCTGATATTTTATGACTCCTCCTTAGAACAGTGAGATTACAACAGAAGCTTGGATTAGTCTCAGTTACAGAATTTTCAAATAATAGATTTTAAGATAGGAAAATGGCATCTTTGGTGTGATGTTGCCCCCTCAAACATCTATCCTTTGACCTCTATGCCAATGTGAATTAGGGAGTGCACACTGTGTTAGAAAGGAGCAAAAAAGAATATTTTTTGAAAGATCTTCTGTTGTTTGCCCAGATCCTAAGCCAACAGCCTAAAAGAGCTTTAAAAAAATAATAAAAAATTGGATGATTTCCAGGGCACACAGTGGGTAAAAAACAAACCTAATAGTAGCGAGATAAAAATTTCAGTAGATCTGAATCCTTATCTCATTAGCAGATAAATACCCTCTACCTTCCTCCAAATTGCAGAAAAATGTGATGGAATAATATCTACTGCTCTCCAGAATAATGTTTTATTCTGTCTTGCTCAACAGGAACTTTTTATGCCAAAAATTCTATTTTGATCTTCAAGTTTCAGAACAACTTAGAAGATAATTTCTGAGTTATCAATGATGCTTTGAAAAGCTCATGAACACTTCTGCTCTAATGAAAATATATAAATACTGATTTCAGATAGGACAGAAGCATTATCTTTGGCTGATGGAAGCAAGTGTTCAGCTGTCAGGTGACAAATTATATGGCTTGCCAACAGGTACATGACTACAACCAGAAACAAGGAAAACTTACCTTTCCAAGCTAGTTGTAGTCAAGTTCCTTCACTCTTTCCAAATAGTCTAACTTCCTGTATTACTTCTAGTTAAATTTCCTTGTATTATTGAACTCCAAGGAAGTCTAGACCCCACAGTTATTATTCAATATCTCACAGAATTTGGGAATTTGGAGGGAACCTCTTGAGGTTATCTAGTCCAGCCTCCTGCTCAAAACAAGTCTAATTAGAGCAGAATGCTCAGTGACTTCTCACTGTTCTTAAGTGTTGAACACCTCCAAGGATGGAGATTCCAAAAACTCTCTGAGCAGTCTGTGCAAGCAATAATTGAAATAAGCAATTTTTCCAGTTACCAAATGGATATTTCCCATCATCCCACTTTTGCCCACTGCCTCTGTCCTAAGCACAAAACATGAATGTTTTAGAATTAACTTTCAGAGGAAATTCCTTAGAGTGTCAAGTGGTATGACCATTTAGCATTTGATGCTAACTTAGAATTATTTTATTTGCTTACTCACTCTCCTGGTGACATGAAGAGTTAATTATGGTCTCTTCTGTCTTCTTTCTTGAACACAAAGCCCACATTTCAATACCTAGAGGATTACCCTGTCATCTCCCTGTTAAAACAAACTGAAACCAGTACTGAGTGTTATTGCTTTTTCCCTATTTCCTTACTGATCTCTGTTTCCATCCAACATATTTTCTATTTCTGAGCTAAAGCTTATCTCAATATCAGTCATACCACACCACAACCACTGAGGTGAAGTTTAACATACAGTTAAATTTGCCTTGTTTTCATGCTAATAGAGAAATTACTCTTTCCAGCAGGAACTTATTTGGTCTTAAGCCAAAAGAAGTTTGAGTAGAAATTGTTTCAGCATCTTTTTGGTACAAAACTGTATTTCTATTTTGACTTAAAGATGCATTTCTACAGTGAAAAATGATTGAATGGTAAATCCTTTTGCAACGTCTGTTCCGTGTTAAATATTTACAGCTGCAACTGTTTACTTCAGTAATTTAGACCTTGATTCAGGAAAATATTTAAGCATATGGTTAACTTAAACCAGAGAAGCAATTCTCTTAACTTTAGGAACACTGAATAAGGGAAGAGTGAGTAGAAGAACAATTCTGTGTCATCTCTTGGGCCAATACTGCTTTTACAGTGCTCCTTAGCCAAGGCCTATTACAGAGCAACCCTGTCCATAATACTTGTATTGTTAAATGGGAAT